GGAGCGCTGGCACAGCACGGCCCGTCCTCACCCCGCTGCCCTTCGCTCGGGATGGCTTTGAGGTGGACAAGAGCCGTGGCCGGTGGTGATGGGCTGCAAAACCTCTGTGTGTTCCTGGTTATTTCGGCTTCTTTTGGGAGCCTCTCCCCTCCCTGATGGCTTGGGGAGGTTTGTCCCAGTGGCCGCTGCGTCTCTGTGTCCATCTGGGAAAGACAGAGCTGCAGCAAATCCTGCAGAGGAGCCGCCAGAGCCCGTCCTCAGCCCCCGCCCTCATCCCTGTCCCGGTGCCACCCCGGCGTGGCAGGTCTGGTTTGTAGGAGCAGGGATGAAGGAGGCAATTCCCAATATCCCACGTGCGGCATCCCCAGAGCCGGGTGGGCGATGCTGGGCATCTCCAGTGCCGGGTGGGCGATGCTGGGCATCCCCAGAGCGGGGTGGGCGATGCTGGGCATCCCCAGTACGAGGTGGGCGATGCTGGGCATCCCCAGTACGGGATGGGCGATGCTGGGCATCCCCAGAGCGGGGTGGGCGATGTCCAGGCTGGCCCAGGCCGTTGCTGGAGCAGAGGTTCCCAGATTTGGCTCTTTGTGCGGGGAGCAGCTGCCCCATCCCGGGGGGATCCCAGGGGAAGGCCACCCACCCCGCCACCCTCCTCCTCCTCCTCCGCTCATCCCCCGGGAGCGATGGGACCCCCGGGGCCCCTCCGTGTCCCCACCGAGCGGGAGGCTCCGGAGGGGCCGCGCCGGGGGCTCCGCGGGGACGCTGCCACGGCCCCGCCGGTGCGCAGGGGGTTCTCCGGGGGGTTGGTTAATTAATTAATTAATTAATTAGCTAGTTAATTAATGAGCTATTGCTGCCAAACGGAGGGAGAGGCTGCTCGGAGGGGATGGAGCGGGCGGGGGCGGGTCCCCAGGCCCGGGGACTCTTATTTTGACCGCGGCGCTGCCGGGCCGCGCTCCGGGGCCGCCGCCTCCTTCCCCCGGCGCTGCTCGCGGTGCCGCGGCGGCTCGGCCGAGGCTCTGCGCGGCTCTGGGAGCCTCTCGGGGTCCCTCACCCACCCCCGGTGCCTCCCGGCACCCGCGGGCTCGGCGGGGTCCGGCTGGCCCGGTGGGGACCGGCCCGGGGTGACCGGGGGGACAGTCAGGGTGACCGGGGGGGACACAGAGCTCGGGGTGACCGGGGGGGACACAGAGCTCGGGGTGACCCGGGGGACACTCAGGGTGACCGGGGGGACACACAGCTCGGG